AGTAGTAGCAGTAGTAGCAGTAAGTAGTAGCAGTAAGTAGTAGCAGTAGTAGCAGTAGTAGCAGTAGTAATCACTGGTACTGGTAGCCCCCCGTTGGCCTTTCTTCCAAGCTGCGTCCGGTCAGCCGGTGCATCTGGGCGGGTGCGGGGCACCACAGGAGGTGTGCAGAGAACTTTGGCGTGGGCTTGGACGCAGGCATTATAAGGAGAATGCTGGCAGCCTTAGCAGCATCCGATAATCTTTCTTCACTGTTAACTGACGAGATGATATCAACAATTCAGCCTGGCAGCGTGTCGCCAATGGCTCTGGCTGCGTGCTTGCCATCTCGAACACGTCCAGCAGATCGAAGCAACGCCCCAAGATGCCGCATTAGACAACAACTGAAACGCCAACCTTTGATGTTGCATTTCACAGGTACTTGGTTGTCCAAGCCAGCGGTTCTGGCACGACTCTGGACAGAACTGCTGTGACGCCGTGCCCGAGCAGCCTCACCCTGCAGCCAAGGATCAACAACAACCGGGTCGACCCCAACACCAACCTAAGAGAAGAGCAGATTGCAGCTGTAGGCCTCAAGGTTGAAAATTGCCCATTTGACACGAGCCTCTCGGCCTGACGCTATTATGAGGTGAGGCTGCTGCAGGAACACGGATCTCGAAGTGGTGGCGCACATCCCCGAGCTTTGGAAGGCCTGACACCGAAGCCCAAAGTGAAACGCTTTTTTCCTTTCACCCCAGCAGACGTTTCAACACAACTAACTGGCTGAAACCTTCCAGCCTGCGTTGTTCACGAGGATGTCAGCAATGAGAGCCATGGTGGAAGACGTGTACGATGTATATCCTAAGGGCCCACGTCTTCGAATGGTAGAACAGAGCGTGCCGGTGCACTTCTCGTGTGTTCCAAAGCTGCGACTGCCCCAAAGGACAGAAACAAGAACACTTGCGACGACATGACAGGGAGACACGATCGACGACGGCGACGACGACTACGACGAGGACAGAGCGACGACCGCCACCGCCGCGACCATCTCAACGGTATCCGATGGTCTCAATCCCGATCTTCACCATTACAGAGATGACAACAGTGAGACTGCGAAGAACAAGAAAAGGAAGAAGAACGGCAACAAACAAAAAAAACACCACCAGCACCACCACCACCCCCCCCCCGCAGCCACGTTATCAACACCGTGAACGTGTTGGCCTAAGCCCTTGCAGTCCCCGGCCTCGGATCGGAAGGGGTTGAAGACGCTGGTTGGCGCTGGCAGGCACCGACCGCTTGAAGCAAATGGCTCCAGCTCGTGAACTGACGGAGAGAAAAAGGAAATCCCAGTACCATGAAGTAGCTAAGGCTGCATGAAGCTGCGTCTTCTGCATTGTCTGGGGCTGGCACTGCCATTCAGAAAACACCTTCGCGGCAAGTTGCCAGCACCGGCTCATTACCAGCACTCGCACCCTCCGGCCCTCTCGGGACTCGCTAGGCACTGAGAGCTGCACCGCCTGCCGCATGGCCCCAGCCCGCCCAAGCAAGAACCGTGCAACTTGACGCCTTGGCTGCGCTGGCAACAGGACAAGCAGCAAACCCCGAAAACAAAATCGCCAAGCACAGCACGGACGTTTCCAAGAGACTTTTACAGGACATGCCAAGTTTGCGTGTGTTTCTCACACGTCATTGCGTACAAATGTGAGATGAAGTTCCCTACGGTCTGAGCACTGCAAGGCAGCACCTTCTGCAAATCAAGCCTCAGCTGTTGCCAGCAAAACAGGTGTCTGCCACTACTTCTGTTGCATGTAGTCAATCACTTCCTTCACTGAGGATAGCTTGTCTGCAACGGCGTCCGGCATAACATGGTTGAACTCCTCCTCTACCTCCAAAAGGACTTCCACCTTGTCCACATCATCGAACTTGAGATCGTTCCAAGTTGTTGCCGAGGAGACGTCCTTCTCAAACGCTTTCAGGATCTCGTTCTTGGTGAGAGCGTCGACGTCGTTGTCCCGAGACAGGTCGTCCTTGCGAGCCTCGATGTACCGCTTCACGGCACCGATCACGCGCTCTTCCATCGATGGCTCAGAGGAGAAGCCACGAATGCGAAGAGCTGCAGCTGGCCACTGCGGCACTGACGGCCTCCTGCCGAGAGCGGAAGAAGCCACAGCTCTCCTGCATGTTGGAATGGCAATTCTTCCGACAGCCACTCGAAGCGAGGAAGCCATCGCTACCAAAGCGAAGCCACTATATGTGGCGAAGGAACACGTTCTCGAGCCCTCAGCCACAATACAGCCCCACAAGTCCAAGATTCGCAGCCTGAGCATGGGCACATTGCAAGTCAGAGCACTCGCTCCGAGCACCTAGCTCCATGGCTGCAGCAGCACGTGACCGTCCTCAAACATCTCATGATTACGGGCTCACGGCGCTTTACCGTAAGCGCTCTCAAACGCATCTCGGATCATTCACCTCTCCGCTTCACTGCGAGGCGAGCCCACACAGAAAGGGCGCAGGCCTTAGCGTTTGCGGTGAAAGGCACAGCCAGCGCGACTCTCTGGAGAGCAGACAGTTTTGAGAGAAGCATACCAATGCGCGACCTCTCGCCCCTTGGGCGGCTGGCTGCCGTTCCTTGCGGGCCAGGCCGGCGCCATTTGTGTAGCCTTGCCCACAGGAAAAGAAAGTCGAGCACGCGAAAACCACAAGGTTTGCAAAATTGCTGACGGCGCTACATCATTAGCACTGCTTGGTGAGATCGTTCTCGGCGAGCCTGAAAAGTGGTGTTCGAAAAAAGAGATAAAGAGATAGAACTTTCAGAGATCTGGAAGAAGTCGACAGGAAGAATACACGTCATGGGTTGCGCCTTTCCTTTGTGCAGCTGCCAAACACGATGCCACCTGGATCGAAAATGTCAAACTTGTCCCCAGCTGGCAGTGCACGCAACTCAACTTCCTCGCACAAGTCCCGTTGTAGCATCATGTCACGGCACACGTCCCAGGGCTTCTGCTCCGACACTGTCTCTGCCAGTAGGCCGCGTGTGTTTCCGCGTTCCCACCTGTGCGGGGGCGCTCGCAAACATACTTTCAGTAGCAATGCGGTGAATTGACGGGCTTTGCTGAATTTTGTTGGTTGCCATGGGCAGGGCGCAGCCAGCTGAGTCTCTGGCTTTTGCAGAGCTAGGTGCACTGCTTCGCGGCCATGCCTTTGACGGCAGTCCACTGGCTGATACCAGTGGCAAAAACTTGCAGCAAGGAAGATGCTGAGCCAGACTGCTGAGACTGCCAGCGTGAACTTTGCACAAAGCCAAAAAGCATTCGCGCATTCGAGTTTCGGGACTAGTTTGCAGCTGCCGTGGATTCGGCGGGCGAGTTCTGGAAAAGTATGACAGCTGGCAAGAGCAGACGAGTTACAAGAGCTTGCAAGGCCCAAAATGCTAAGAGGATCCATGGCTCCCTCCGATCAAGGACTCCTTGCTGAAGTTGTGTGCAAAAATCTTGCAGTGCTCGGTAGCAACATGCCCGCGAAAACGACAGCACGTCCAAACGGGGTGAGATTTGAGCACATGCAGGAAGAGCAGGTGGAGAGGGGAGCTGCAGCCACAAGAGCACCGTTAAGCCTCGGACGCTTTGGCACGCTGCCGCCTGTCCACCTTCGTAAACATTGTCAGGACGCAGACGCGGCCTCCCTCATAGTCACAGCACTGCAACCATCCACAACACGACGCCTGGACTTGGTGCTTCCACAGCGCGTAGAAGCTGCCAAGCAGCCCGACCTTTCGACATCGACTCTGGCGAAAGTGTCAAACAGGTGGCAGAAGTACCAAAGAGCCAAGCCACTCCAGCTTGCGCCTCCATGCTGATCAGGTAGCTGTCCAGCAGCTTGGTCTGAGCCCGTCGGCTGTCAACACAGATCAGAAGGCCAAAACGGCCTCTCGAAATGGATTCCGCCAACGATGGCAGAGGTATCCCCCATGCTTAACAAGGGGGACGATTAAAAATAAAGGATTACTTCATAACTATTCATTTTCGGGTTCCCGTGTCGACCTATATGAGCATCATGAGCAGTTGTACGTCCGGACGGGCCACCAGACCCCGCCCCCCCCAGTTCGAGATGCCTGCTCCCGTTCTGGCATGTTGTTGATTCCCCTCCCGCTCATCATCACTCATCTCTCGCTGCACAAGTGGCGGCACGGCTATACCACGGGGCTCAAGTTTTAGGGATTGTATCGTTGAACGGCGTGCTCATGTTCTCTCATGCAGAGGTGAAAGGCATCTCCTTTTCCATTTTCTACTGAAAGCGGTCCCCTGTGATTCTTTAAACCCAGAACCCTCAACCCAGAAACCCTTAAAGCGAGAAACCCTGAACCTAGAAACCCAGAACCCCGAAACACTAAACGCAAAAACCCTGAACCGAGAAACCGCAAAGAAAACCTAAGCCCAGAAATCGTGACCTCAGAAACATTAAATCCAGAAACCCTAAACGAACAGGCTACGTAGAAACCAAGATCTGCACAGCCCATCCCGATACCCAGAACTGCTTGATTCAATTTTTCGAAGACTGCGAACCCTGAACCCCCAGCGCAAACATGGGATAGAACCTTTCGCCGACGCCCGGCGAAGAGCTTCTGCCACCTCGCCGGTCAACGACTGCCAGTGGGCAATCATGATCTCTAGATTACTTGAGCGAAGACTGAGGCAGCTTCTCATGTACGACTTCGTGGAGCAACCCGGCGACGTTTCCGCGTTCCCACCTCGGCTCCGCAACTCTGTCCTGACTATTCCTAATTCCCCGTCCCTAGATGCTCAAGCTCAGAAAGACCTGCGGCACAAGGTCACAGCAATCCTCCCACAGCACACTGGCTGAGGATCTGCACTTCTGCAGCGCCAGGGTCACAGCTTCGCGTCCGTGCCTGAAATCAAGCTTGCGATACTCATGCTCCGCACAAGCGCCGTGGGAAAGAGAAAGATCGCACTCTGCATCGACGTCTGCACGATTGCATGTCAAAATCGGTCTTGGCGACAGGCCCCTTCGCGCGCTTCTCACTGCAAAGTTTGTGCCACCTGACATGCACTTACGTGAAGTCTTTTCGGGAGCAAATATAAATATAGCTGAGGCGGGGGCTGCCCCACCACCTCAAGCAGAAGACCCTGCACAGTGCCGCGCTCCCACCTGGCAGACAAGCACGAAACGGCATGTTTCTGCAGACGTCCGGCAGCATCTACAGCCAAGAGCTCAGCGTCAGGCTTTTGCAAGGCAAGCTGCACGGATTCATGTTCGCTTGCCTTGGAAACTCTTTGTTGCACAAACACCTGCAATAGAGCCCCGTGTGCTTGCGTACGAGCACATCCGCCCCCTGCATCTAATTCATCATCTGTGCTCTGATCCAAAGCTGCTGCAGGCGACTCCGACAGCTCAGGCATAGCACCTTGCGCCGATGCTCCGCAGAGATTTTCTGCCACCTGGCAGGTCAGCAACTGCCAGTCGGCCATGCTGATTCATCCTGCTGACATCTTAGAGCCTATCAGTCTGGAGACTGCTTGAGCGAAGACTGAGGCAGCTTCT